TGCAAGCAAGAAGGCAATGGGATGGTATATATAAAACCCTGAAAGAGAAAAATTTTCAACCAAGAATTATATACCTGGCAAAACTGTCTCTCAAACATGATGGTGAAATTAGGAGATTTCCAGATAAGCAAAAACTAAGGAAATTTGTTAAAACCAGACCACCTTGCAAGAGTTATTAAAGGGAGTCCTTTGAACAGAGAAGCAACAGTACCAAACAACAACTGACCATTAATACACAAAATGACATAACCCAGAAACCAAAGCTATGGACATCTTCAATTGGCAAATGGGGACAACTACAAACCAAAAAGAGGTAAACTACTGTGTAGTTACAAAACTTCTAAATGGTGAGGAAATCAAGAGAGTTGCAAGACAGAATGGACTGTTCCAAACTCAGGGAGAAAATTATAAATCACAAGTAATCTCAAAGAAAATGATCAACCTTCACATCACAATAAAAAAGAGGACAACCACAAATATTCAGCAAATACTAAAACAAGAGCAACAAAGGAAATGATAACACAATTCATAAACATAATGAGCTCAGCACAGAAAATAATATGGAACAAAGAAACCAGGGACACCATGAAAAAAAAACTAACAAAATGACAGCAACCAATTCATACTTACCGATAATTACATTGAATGTTAATGGATTAAATGAACCACTCAAGAGATGGAGAGTTGAGATTGGATAAGAAAATAAAAAGCATCAATACGCTGTCAACCAGAGACACACATTAAAGACAAAGACAAAAATATACTAAAAGTCAAAGGTTGGAAAAAGATATATCAAACAAATGGCAACCAAAAAAGAACAGGAGTGGAAATATTAATTTCTGATCAAATTGACTTTTAAGACAAAAACCACTATACAAGACAAAGAAGGATTATATAATGATTAAAAGAACAATTGAACAAGAAGATGTAACCATAATAAATATCTATGGATCCAATGAAAGAGCCCCAAAATACGTAAATCAGACTTTAAAGGAACTGAAAGGCAAATAGAGGACTCCACAGTCATAGTAGGAGACTTGAATATACACTTTCAATGAAAGAACAACTGGAAAGAAACTCAACAAAGATGCAGAAGGGCTAAAAAATACAATCCACCAATGTGACCTTATAGGCATCTACAGAGCACTTCACCCAGCAAAAGAACAATATACATTCTTTTCCAGTGCACAGGAACATTTTCCATGATAGACCATATGTTAGGCCATAAAGCAAGCCTTCATAAAGTTAAAAACATTGAAATACTGCAAAGCATCTTCTCAGATAACAATGCTATCAAGTTAGAAATCAACAATAGGAACATCAATGGAAAAAGAGTAAACACATGGAAACTGAACAACACCCTCCTTAAGAAACACTGGGTAAGAGAAGAAATAAAAAGTGAAATTGAAAACTGCCTTGAATCAAACAAGAATGAAAACACAACATACCAAAATCTTTGGGACACAGCGAACGCAATGACCAGAGGCCAATTTATAGCAATAAATGTACACATCAAAAAAGTAGAAAGAACCAAAATCAACATCTCCAACAACGAGAAAAAGAACAGCAAGAAAACCCTACAGTCACCAGAAGAAAGGAAATAATCAAGA